GATAACAAAGCGTGGAATAATGATACGTACAATATCATTTAATGAATATCGTATAAATAACGCTATTGTGGAATTTGTGTAGAGTATCGCATGATTGTTATTGTGTTGTTAGAAGTGTTGATGATAAATGTAAAAGAATGAAGAAAGATTATTGAAATGTTAGCATTCTTCATTTTCATGAACATATTTGATGCTTATCCTTCAATGATAATCTGATAACATTCATTTAATGTTTCCTACTGCAAGTTACTTCTGATACCAACGTTATCAGTTGTACAAATCTCTTCCACACTTATGAATGATACGTACGTCTTTTCTTTCTTTCCTTTCATTTATTTCATTTTATTCAATATTATATAATTTTTGTTTATTATTAAAATTAAAATATTTTCATAAATTGACACGAAATTTAAATTTGCTAAAATTGTGTAAGCATGGATTTGAATAATTAATTTAATTTAATTTTTTTAACCAGCTTTTTTTCCTTTTTAGATTTGAGAGACTTTAATCTAAGCTATTATCAAGTTTTTAGAATACCTCAATTTAAGTTGAATCAAAATTTATGTAAAACAAAAAGTATAAGATAGGAATTCTATATGTAATTAGCACTTCCGTCTAATTACTCTTATTATCTTAACTGACCCTATCCTATGTTAATTATTTATCGACAATTTGCTAACTGTAATTGATAACGTAACATACATTTTCTTATATTTTAATTCAAGCACTTTTTTCCTTCCAGAAACTATTTATTCATCAATTTCAACTTTCTCTCATTTGCATGCTTTCTATTCTTTTCCTACTTTTCACATCATATATCATCGCACTTTTATTTATACACTAAACTATATATCTCTTCTTTGAAATGCTATCATATAGTTAAATAAGTTTTTAAATTTCACAATTTCATTTTTTTCTTTAATCATACTAATAGAAAATGAGAAATATATCAAAGCTTTATAACAATTTGAAGTTAAATCTTTGCTAATATAATTTGAAAAAAAGTAATTCATATTTAATTTGATATTTCATTTAGGTTAAATAGATTTTAAATTATTTTGTTTAATATAAATTGTTCTAATTACATTTAAATATCCTTTAGTTAGGGAACATTCATTTCTGAGCAAAACCACAATATCATGAATGAAACGAATAGCAAAGACTCATTTCAAGGAAAGTGAAGGATTTTAAACATCGGATAATTTCATTAAAATCTTCACTAATTGGTTTATTGTATTTCATAATGAAGCGAACAGTTATCATCATATACAACTTTTTCAAATTGTATGAGCAACAGGATGGGGACAGTATCACTGATATCACTCAATATCACTGCAACTGTTTCCGAATATATGGATAATTGCAGATGACGGCAACACTAATAACAGTTATCATCATATACAATTACATCGGAATATACGGACAGTTATACATGGGCAATAGTACTAATAGCAGTTATCATCATCTGCAAGCATGTCAAATCTATTATTCTATTCTAAGTGTCGCATACAAGAACAATTTACAATCAGATCACTATCAATTATAACAATAATAGTAATAAAGCAATAATAATGTTAACTGGTAGTAATTAACAATATAATATATGTTTTCCAAAATGGAAAACATATATATTATATTTCGGATTACTGAATAATTTATTAATCCCAAATACTGACTATGCTAAAAATTTTCGAGAACTCCGCTTTCCAATGATATCGCAAATATACGAAAATACTATTAATTCAGTAATAATAATAAAGTAATAATAGTACTGCAATAACATCCAAACCTGTCCTGCATTTCGTTTAGATGAATTTTTCGATAAGCAAAAAGAGATTCTGATGTAGAAATAATTTTCAACAACTTGGATTGTCGAAAACCTTCAATATTAGCTTGTTTATGAATTAATAAAACTCTTTATCACGCACATGTCAAGTTTAAACAGGCAACAAGGTAAATAAATGGAAAACATATATATTATATTTCGGATTACTGAGTAATTTATTAATCCGAAATACTAACTATACCAAAAATTTTCGTGAACTCCGTTTTCCAATAATATCGCAAAATTATATGAAAATACTATTAATTCTAAAGAAGTGAAAAATGTGACCTCTACTCAAACAAATACTCAGAAACAAGGACACACAAATGCAGCCACACAAATAATATATATATCTTTTCCACTTACTTACTTTTGAAATTCCGAAGGAATGCATATTTTTTGAAAAAATCCTAACATTAATTATGATAAAATAAATCTGTTAAGGTGGGGAGATAAAAATGAGTGATATACAGTATCTTCTAACATAATTGGATTAATTCAAAATTATAAATAGGTGAATACAATAATAAAGAACGGAAGGAATCATCTAATAAATAACAGTAAATAAAATTAGTTATTTCACATAACTCTTTTCTTACCTATACCTCTCTTTACGAAATTTTCGAGCCCATTCATTAATTTTTTAACAAATTTCGTTTAGCTGACCAATTAACAAGACAAAACAAGATTTGTTTTCCATTATGATGGCGTGGATGACGGGAAATGCCATTGCTTGATATGATGAAATCGTTGCAAACGACGACGTATTCGATGTCGATTTATTTCAACAAGAAAAAAAGACTATTGAAAAGTTCGAAAGAAGATGAGAATATTCAAGAATATTAAACAACCAAAACTTAAAATTTAATATTCTCCAAATAAGTAATACTTCTTGCTCTCTCTCATACTGAATTTCTCGCTTTCAATTATCATCCCTAAAGTAAAATGATTAAGACGATATATTTATTTGGCGAAATATCTCCATACTATCGACAAAATTTGTTGTAAATTTATTATACCTTTAGTAGCCTGTGGTAGAAGCATCAACGTTGGTAAACGCGCAATTAGAAATCCTCTAAATTATTATAACAGAAAAATGAATTCAGGAATTTTCACGTTTATCCTATAATTTATTTAAAATACTTTTTCCGTCAAGAAGAAACAACCAGTGTAAGCTTTCTTTCAATATCATTAATGAAGTTGAAAATTCATATGAAAAATCGATCGCCATAGGGATGGATGGTCATTCATCGATTAGATGAATTAACTAAAACGCCAATATTAACTAAAACCAATATTAACTAAAATTAACTAAAACGCCAATATATATGAATATTCGATAGCGAAAATTATGAAAAAATTTAGCGTTCTGTAAAATCATCATGTATTAATTTCTCTCTTCAGCATTGATGAGTTGGCTTTAACGCTGTGGAGCCCTCCCAGTTCACATGCGCAATTGTCGCATTTCGTAATCACTTTAGATTGAATATAAAGGTCATTTGCAGTTCCAATTTATGTTGAGTTAATTCGCTAGCAATTCTAAATTTTATTCTTACATAATATAAAAGTTGATAGAAAAAGGAAAAAACTATGTGAAGAGATAAAATATAGGGAAATCTTAATGATACTTGCAGTTCGAGGAGATTCTGTTGAATCGTATAATGCAAATGAGTTCCAAGCAATATTTCAAAAAATTACTTTACTGTGAAATAACATCCCTTTCTGTTTATATTTGATAACGACATTCCAAAGATGAATCGTCAAATGAAGCCTTACTTATAAATATCTTTCTTATAGAAAAATGTATCATACAGAAAAAAATTCAAAGATAAAATATCTGCAACTTAGAATGAAATTTCTTCACAATTTCTTTAAATAATTTTATTAAGATATAGACTAGCAAGCTCATATATCTTTCAATTAGTATTTCATAAATGTAATTATTAGCCAAATACTCGAGCTGGTTCTTTTATTCCTTTCTCAATTTCTACGATTTTGCAACAAAAATAAGTTATTTGTATTTTTCAAAAAAAGGAAATTTCTTTTTCAAATCACAGATTAACTCAATGAATTAAGAAATAACACAGAAAGAAACTGCATCACAAATTCCGAATTGTAATCCAAAAATAAAATGCAATACCTTAAAACCTGATTATCGTAATAAACTGCAAACATATCTACTGCAAACAAATATAATATATTTCGCAATAATTTAAAACCATCCTTCCAAGTTACTGCGTTTAGAATCTAAATGATAGAATGAAAATGAATTATTGTTTGCAGTTGATCAATCAATAACCTCAACGTCTTGCCTGCATAATCTTCTTTTCACCAAACTTCGAAAATCAGTGATTAACAATGGTACCACAGAAGTCTCTTAAAAACGCTGTTGTTCAACAATTTTTTTCAATGGAAAGACTATTATTCCACCTCACTGCTCTCATCACTTCTCGGAAACCCCTTTGTTCGCATTAGAACTAAAAAATTCGTATCTGCAAACTACTCAAAACTTTTTGTTTGAATCAAAAATCAACTGGATAATAAGTGTGAGATCTATTTTCTGCATCGCTTACGTAATACTTCTGAAGATGTGATACGACATCGAAGAGAAGATTCCAAAACTTACGAAATTACAAGTGTTTTGCAAATAACTGGGATTAGGAATACTCTAATTTGAGTATAATATTTTGGTCACGTTGTATCCAGAAGTGTAACAAAATGAAACGATTTGAAAAAAGTTCATATAAAGATTGCCACTGATAATGAAAAAAAACTTCCAGAACTACTTTCCTTGACCTCAACTTAAATGATTAAAAAGAGATCTGTAATTACCACTTCTTCATTACTCCCCCATTTTGTCTCATCTTTTCATTCTGTTCCTATATAACCAATTATCTTTTGCGTATGTACGAAATCTTGAAATTTTAGGTTATATGAAATATTACTTTACTAACTTAAAATGAAACAATATGCCACTTTTTCCAAATTCCAAGTCTGAAGAAGTACAAATCACCTTATCCAGCAGATGAAATATCAAGCCTTTATTTAAAACCGCGATAAAACGACAGATTACATGCTAATTTGAAACAGTTTAAACTAAAAAAATTAATATTTCATGCATGGGAACAGTCGAAATCAAAATCATCAATTAAACATAAATAATCAAAAAAGTGCTTCATATGCTTTGAATTTCCTTCGGAGTCAGAAAAACGTGATGTCTGCCATATCGAAATGATACCACTTCATGGTAGCAAGTACGACATATACCTGACTAAAATTTATTACATTTGATCTCATCAGAATTTCAAGAAAAAAGAAACTGAAAGAATTATTTTTTTCCTCATGCATAACTGCTGATAAATTTTTCATCTCTTTGGATATAACAAATTTAGTAAATCGAAAATTTGTCCTAATAATCATTAATTTATAATCCATTTTTGCTTCTCCCTATCTAGTTAAAGTATAAGCTTTCTTAAACATACCCTGAAATCATCCATTACACCAAATTTTCTAGCAAATGCCTTAAAATCAGCCGAAGACATATACAACAAACGCACTTTTTCCGGCAAAACAGTACCATTTGAAAACCTTCCTTTCAAAATTTCATCCAAAGTAGCAGGAACTGCTCTGTAATTAAACATGCAAAAAAGTTTAACT